GGAACTAAGAGGAAGTTCACCATGGAGAAACCCTGTCTCTTCAAAGCAGCAAACATAGTGACACAAGTGCTACTCAAAAGTCAGTGACCAGGGCTTCCCTGGTGGCGCAGTGGTTGAGAGTCCTCCTGCGATGCAGGGGACATGGGTTCGTGCCCCGGTCCGGGAAGATCCCACATGCCGCAGAGCGGCTGGGCCCGTGAGCCATGGCCGCTGAGCCTGCATGTCCAGAGCATGTGCTCCACAACGGGAGAGGCCACAACAGTGAGAGGCCCGCGTACCACACAAAAAAAACAAAAGTCAGTGACCAGAGCTGGGTCTTTGCTTTAAAGTTTGCTGTTTCCTTTCTGCAAGTTCACTTCCAGAAATTTATCCTATAGACATACTTCACAAAGATCATTGTGTAAGGATTATCAAGGAGGTCTGTAAAAGTGAAAACCTGAGACCAATCTAAACATCTGAAAGAATGACTAAAATTATGCTAGAGGGGTCCCAGACGCAGGCACTCATTTTTACTTCTCTAAAAGTTGAGCTCAAATGGCTGAGGAGTTTTTCTACTCCCGGTATTCTGGCTTCCCTAGCTTACGCACCAGAAAAATTTCCATGTTATACTGTCTTTGTTTCCCTATTTACTGATTTGAGCTTTGTAGAACAGACTATACTTGGCCTGAAATTTGGTAGATGAGGGAGAAGTTTGAGATAGAAAAGTAATGTACAATCTGGAAAACTTCCTCATAACTTAGTGAGTATACCAAGGAGATTAGGCCAGGGGTAGAATCTCTTCTTCCACTCTATTCATGGCTTCTCTTTTAACCTTCTTTACATGTAGTCCCATCCCCATCCCCTTGAGACCCAAAGAGGCAGTAAGAGAGAGCTCTGATCTGTGGTAACAAGCCTAACAGAAATCATATATTTACCCTTTAAAACTTCACCATCAGATTTCTTTGCCAGAACACCATGAAATCAAAGTGGTATTCCTGATAATCTCATGTTGATCGGGAATTCTAACTGGCATTTATGCATTGTTATTGAATAAAAACAGGAAACTGAATTATTATTTAATAAGTTCACTTTGTTTAGTAAGAAAAAGTCTTTTCAAACCATGAGGTACCTGAGGGAAAAGTACTTTCTAGCATATTTAGGGACAGAACTGCCTGAACAACCAGGAGTCTTGCATCAAAAGAATTTAACCTACCTGTGGGTGCACTTGATAAGGTCAAATCTGAAGCTAAATCTTTTTTTTTTTTTTTGGTACGTGGGCCTCTCACCGTTGTGGCCTCTCCCGTTGCGGAGCACAGGGTCCGGACGCACAGCCTCAGCGGCCATGGCTCACGGGCCTAGCCGCTCCGCGGCATGTGGGATCTTCCCGGACCAGGGAATGAACCCATGTCCCCTGCAACAGCAGGCGGACTCTCAACCACTGCGCCACCAGGGAAGCCCAAGCTAAATCTTTTGATTGTACATTAGTAGTGCTCTTTCTCTCTCTCCCAACATTCAGTCTTTGCTAAACTTTACATAAAACCCACCAATATTATAAAACATTCAAAAAAACAAACAACCCAGTCAAAAAATGGGCTGAAGACCTAAATAAATTTCTTTAAAGAAAACATACCAATGGCCAACAGGCACATGAAAAGGTGCTTAACATCGCTAATTATTAGAGAAATGCAAATGAAAACTACAATGACATATCACCTCACACCTGTTAGAAGGGCCATTATCAAAAAGTCTACAAATAATAAATGCTGGAGAGGGTGTGGAGAAAAGGAAACCCTCCTACACTGTTGATGGGAATGTAAATTAATACAGCCACTATGGAGAACAGTATGGAGGTTCTTTAAAAAACTAAAATTAGAGCTACTATATGATCCAGCAATCCCACTCCTGGGCATATACCTGAAGAAAACCAAAATTCAAAAATATACATGCACCCCAATGTTCATTGCAGCACTATTTACAATAGCTGAGACATGAAAGCAACCTAATTGTCCATCAATAGGTGAATGGATAAAGAAGATATGGTGTGTATATATATATATATATACACACACACACACACACACACACACACATATACACACAATGGAATATTACTCAGCCATAAAAAAGAATGAAATAGTGCCATTTGAAGCAACATGAAAGGACCTAGAGATTATCATACTAAGTGAAGTAACTCAGAGAAAGACAAATATCATATGATATCACTTATTTGTGAAATCGAAAAATATGATACAAACGAAATTATTGACAAAGCAGAAACAGACTTCAGACATAGAAAACAATTTTATGGTTACCAAAAGGGAAGGCGGGGAGGGGGGTTGATAAATTAGGAGTTTGGGATTAGCATATACACACTACTGGGAATTCCCTGGCCGTCCAGTGGTTAGGGCTCCACACTTCCACTGCAGGGGGTACGGGTTCAGTCCCTGATTGGGGAACTAAGCTCCCACAAGCTGTGCAGCACAGCAAAAACAAAGAAGAAAAAAAACATATACACACTACTATATATAAAATAGGTAAACAACAAGGACCTACTGTATAGCACAAGGAACTATATTCAATATATTGTAATACCCTATTGCGGAAAAGAATCTGAAGAATATATATGTGTATAACAGAATCACTTTGCTGTACACTTGAAACTAACACAACAACCTTGTAAATCAACTATATTTCAAAAAAAAATTTTAATATTATAAAACATTGAATTTCCTGAAAGAGGAAGAGATTCATAGGCGATGGAGTTGAGCATCTTAGTTAACAAGTGGAAGCCATCTTGGCTGAAGGAACAAGTCTGATGTGATAGGAAGATTGCCCAAGATATTTATTTTTGTATATACCATTTGAAATAAAATTTTTCAGTGAACAATTACAACGTATCCATGCTATTAATTGCATTGTGGAGGCAATAAGAATATTTAGGAATAGGTAGAGACATGAAATAATGCCCAAGAAACATTAAGGGAGAACAAGCAAGTTGTAGGGTAATGTGTATAATAGAATCCCATTTGCCTAAAAAGAAAATAGATTAAATATGTGTATTGTGGTCCATGTATATATAGACAGATATGTCCATATATGCGTGAGCAAGTCTAAAAGGATACACCCGAATTTAACTATTGCATAGGAAAAAAGGAGAGAGAACTTTTACTTTTTACTTTATATATGGACTCCAATATCATTTTAATTTTAAAGAACGATTCATCCCCTTTGTAATTAAACCAAACACCCACCTAATGTTGAAAAGGAAGTGGAAGGACTTCCTTGGTGGTCCAGTGGCTAAGACTCCCAGTGCAGGGGGCCCGGGTTGGATCCCTGGTCAGGGAGCAACTAGATCCCACGTGCCGCAACTAAGACTTTGCATGCTGCAAATAAAAATCCTGCGTGCTGCAGCTAAGACCTGGCATAGCCAAATAAATAAATAAATAAATATTTTTAAAAATAAATAAAGGCAGTGGAGATATCAGTTACATGTGGAAGCTAATTTTAAAATGACACAAATGAACTTATTTACAAAAGAGAAACAGACTCACAGATCTCAAAATCAAACTTATGGTTACCAAAGGGGAAACATGGGGGGAAGGGATAAATTAGGAGATTGGGATTAACATATACACACTACTATATATAAAATAGATAACTAATAAGGATCTACTGTAGAGCACAGGGAACTCTACTCAGTATTCTCTAATAACCTATATGGGAAAAGAATCTGAAAAACAATGGAGATATATATATATATATATATATATATAACTGATATATAACATTCACTTTGCTGTACACCTGAAAATAACACAACATTGTAAATCAATTACACTCCAATAAAAAAAATTTTAATAAAAAAATTAAAATAAAATAAAAGGCAGTGGAAATAGTAGACTCAGTATCCATGTTCTCAGGGTTTGGAAAAGTTGACAGTGGGGATGGGTTATGGGTGTGCAGAGAGGTGCATGTGCTGGAGACTCGCACTGTCCCTTAATGGAAGCTGAGCTCTGGATCGACACACTATCAACTACCACAGGGATTTGCTCTGCTTTCAGTAAACTAGAGGCGTCTGAGGCTTCCCTGGAAACTGGGCAGAAGAAACATGCTGGATATATAAAAGCTGATGACAGAGAGAGGGTTTCCCTTCCCCCAGTCTCCCGTCCCATGTTGTCAAAGGGGGCTGTATTTGCAACTGGGCCCTGGGGTTTCGCCCCATCACATTCGGTTCCTCTTGGTTCCATCTCCTAACATTCTATTCTGCCACGTCTTCTCTGCCCTCGTTACAGTTATCTAGCCTTTCCAAACCCTATCCTCTCTCAGGGCTTGTCTCTACATCCCTGCACTGAGCAAGATATCCTGATAACCTTCTTATCTCTCACTGCCTTAGCTCCTCAGCTTTGTGTGGTACCATTTCAAATCAGAGCAAGCGTGAAGTCCTGTGGAGTATTTAGCATCTCATGAGGGCTCCAGAGGACAGGGGTGCTCTGTTTCAGCAATCCTTGCATACCTGGAACACCATGAAATGAGAAATAATTGTGTGTCCCTTTTGGGTTTCTTAGATCACAATCTCTGAAAGGACATTCTGTCGACAAAGCAGGAAAGTTCTGGCGTCTTATGCACCGTTGAACGAGGTGATAACAACTGCCGCATCCTCGTTTCAGCCCCTTCTAGAAGCAGGAAGGACCCTATTGAATCACAAGTCACATTCCGGAAGCAAAAACTTCAAATTAGTCTTCTGGTTACAACACAGGGGAGAATAATGGCGTTGGTGAAGTGTGGCTTTTCTGAATTGCTGAAGAATGTTTATGGTTAGAATCGATGTGATTAATTCCATGGTCATGAAAAGAACCTATCAGGTCCCTGGCTGTGGCTGAGGGTTTTGATTCTGTCTACAGCTGATGGAAACCTCTCCCAGGGCCTCTGAGTTCTCCGCAGGGATGGGCTCATACACAAAGGACCAGAGCTTTGTTTGCAGGCTTTATTTCAGTCTTTAAAACTTTTTTTTTTTTTCCTCACAGCTTGAAACATAACTTATAGTTTAACATGTTCAGTGGCTAAACCTCTATGATTTAACATTTTCTTTTTTTTAAAATAGACAAAACCCCCAGGCTCAAGAATCAAGAACTTTCCACAGGAATATTCAAGATGGGGGGAGCTTAAAAGTGCAAAATAAAGACACGGAAAGCTGAGGGAATAAACTTTCATGAAGATTTGGGGCGGGGCAGGGCACAGATTTAATTTACATCTGGGTTTGTGCCTCTCGCTGGGTGTTCTTTTCCATTTCTCCTTTTATTCCAAAGATTACCACCCCTGACTTCTCATAAGCTGAGAGGTAGAGTTCTGGAAAGCAGGTAGTGTCAAGAGGACAGAGGCTGTAGCAGCTACCCAGATCCAGTCCAGTTTCCTGCTGATCGGTGTGCTGTGTGAAAAAGGATGAAGAAATGATCAGATTATCCTTGACCCTCTCGGGCACCTGTCCTGCTTCTTCGTGGCACTGGAGACCAGTATAAGAAACCCATCCTTCGTGGCATAGGTCTGGTTCCTCTGATTGCTGTCCAGGGAAAAGGGTGCAGGTGTGTGTGTTTACACATGTGTCCAGGAGGTGGCCTGAGGTGAGACCCTTCTGTGTGTCACATACTTAGGCTACAAATCGGTCGTGTAGATCAACTGCTCTCTCACCTTCTGAGTCAAAGTAGTGCCTTTGGAGCTCTGCTCTAGATCACTGATAGCCCCAAAAGATCCCTTCCTGTAACCCCGGATTCAGTATTCAGGGAAAAAAGCCTCATACTAACGTCTCCAGGTAACTTCTGGAAAAGATGTGGACACTGGGGACTTGAAGAGAGGGAGAAGAGAATGTTCTATCTCTCCTTCATGTTTGTGTGGGTAAATTTGCAGCTGAGGGCTGGGGACACAGCTACTAAGCTCAAATTCCACCAATAATCGGGATGGTACCTTTGATCTGTAGCTAAGAATGTTGGAGAGGGAAAAGAGAATGGAAGATAAATTCATGCCTGCTTTAGAGCTTGCCGAAAGGAAGCTGGGATGGAGAAACTCAGGCAAACGTGGTGGCCAACAACTTCAGAGAATAACGACCAAGGCCGGCTGTGATCCCCACTTTCACCTGGAGCCCCAATACCCCAGGGTATTTTACATTTTCCAGGACTCAACATAGTGCTTATTGCTTTCTAGGCTCTGGAAGATTCCTCATGCTTTCCTTCCATTGCTCGGAGTGCTCTGTGCTACTGTGGGCCTCACTTGATACGCTGAGGGTGAGGTAGGTGAGGGTCAAGTGTTCCTCAGCCCAGTTGGCAGCAAGCAAGGCTCTGACTTGACAGGAAGTGTGAGTGGCTGAGGGGGACAGATTCGAAGCCCGCGCTGACTTTCCAGTTGTCCCTCCCACCGTGCCTTCACACAGGTAGTGTCACCCAGCTTGTCAGGGGGCCATTTGGAAGCCAGACTCTGCCCATGGTGGAGATGAACTGTTCCTCACACTGGCCTACGCTGGGGCCGTAGAAGGGGAAAATCTAATTAACATTGGAGTAAGAGAGAACGAGAAAGATAATCTTCTCCCTATTCCTTGTTCCCAGTGCTGGTTCCCGTGGAACAAATTAAACTCTTCTCCCTAAAGCTCCAGGCCACGGAGGTGGCGGGGGGGGGGGTCCTTCCCCTGCTCTGAGCAGGTGCTCTAATACCTCAGCTCTCACAATAGCTCCCACAGCAGCGGGCTGGAGGAGGCCACAGGCAGAGAAGACCGGAGCACAGAGAGCTTGTTCTGGTGCTGGCTGCACACGTGACCCGGAAGTACTCTGGCCTCTGGTACGGGGACCCCTCCAATGGCCATCGCCCCGCCAGAGCAGAGCGTAGTGAGGAAGCAGCCAGGGCCTGCACGGGGCCACCGCTGATGCGTCCACATGGCCCGGGAGCCGCAGCCAAGCACAGCTCTGGCTCAGAGCCTCCACCCCTCTCCTCTTTGAACTCCACGCCACTGGAACTGCCTTCGTCCAATCCAGAGTCCAGCTCAGGCGGTCAACCGTGCCAACATCCAGCTGTCCCATCAGGAACCAGTGTGTGGCACAAGAGACTCGGGGTGGACTGGCCGTGTTTGCTCCTTTCATTGGGAGATAACGTTTTCCTCTTGAGGTAGGAATGTAACTGGGCCCAGCCTTGGCTAACACTCCACATCTTGCAGCTCGATCTCCTCCGTTGTGCTTTCTGCAAAGCAAAAGACACATCCATGAGTTGCCAATCGGCCGGGGGTGGTTTCTTGGTGAGAACAAGATGACAAGGGCCACTTTTGGCCATCTAAGCCATGAATCGATGATCACAAGGCCCAGAGAATTACCTTTGAGTTTGTGTCTTCTCTTCCTCTGGAATTTATACGCACACTTATTACAAACCCACATGAGGCTGATTAACACTGCAGCCACGGCAGCGAGAAGAGCAAGGAAGACAGCGACAAAGTGGAGGTCTTCATAGAGGATCTCTACGGGGAGGGGGAGGGGAGGGGGAGATAACGTCTCTTTTAATATCATGAAGTCGGCCTCCGCACACTCACAGTTCTGAGAGGCGCTGGGGCCCCTGGGGGTGTCTTACCCGACACGTGCAGCACGATGGTGCCAAACTGACTGCTCCCCAGGCGCTCGGTCACCGTGATGACGTAGTAGCCGGAATCCCTCACACCCACACTGAAGAGCTGGATGGAGCCGTTGTCGAAGGTGCAGACCCTGTCCTTGTGGCTTTGGGAGATGTTGGCCTGAGTCCCTGGCTTCCACTCCACGATCTTCTGCACTCCCCAGTTGGACGTATACTTCCATTCGATAGTGGGGATGCCATGGCAGGAGTATGCAACCGAGAGCAGGATGTCCTCTTCCACCGTGGCATTGATGGCTGCCTGGGGAATGTACAGGGACACCCCCTGACCTGCGGGATGGAGTGCTAGACTTGGCGCCACTCATATGGACTCACAGTGAAGTGAACTTCTATAACACATTCATTTATTTAGCACGCATTTATTGAGTGCCTATTACATGCCAGGCTCTCTTCTAGGTTCCAATGCTGATGCTACAATGGTGAATGTCATGGACTGAATGTTTGTATCCGCCCCCCCCCAATTTCTATGTTGAAGCCCTAACCCCCCAGTGTGGCTGTATTTGGAGATGGGGTCTCTAAGGAAGTAATTAGGGTTAAATGAGGTCATAAGGGTGGGGCCCTGCTCCAGTTGGATGTCTTTTTTTTTTTTTTCCTGCCGTGCCGAATGGCATGTGGGATCTTAGTTCCCCAACCAGGGATCGAACCTGAGTCCCCTTCATTGGAAGCGTGGAGTCTTAACCACTGGACAGCCAGGGAAGTCCCCTGGATTGGTGTCTTCATAAGAAAAGTCTCTCTCTCTCTCTCTCATTCTCTCTCCATGGGCTCATATGGAGAAAGGACCATTTGAGGTCACAGAGAGAAAGCAGCTGTCTTCAAGCCAGGAAGAGAGTTCTCCTTGGAAACCAAACCCTGCCAGAACCTTGATCTTGGACTTTCCAGCCTCCAAACTGTGCGAAAATAAATTTCTGTTGCTTAAGGCCCCCAGTTTGTGGTATTTTGTTATGGCAGCCCAAGCTAGGACAGTGAACAAAACACAAGATCACTATTTACTATTCCCTAGAGCTTCCATTGTATAAGGGAGACACACAAGGGTTAAATAAACACATGAGATCATTTTAGATAACAAGTGCTTTAAAGATAATAAAATAGGGTACTAGTGGCGGGTGGGGATGGAGGTGGTACACAACATGAGACGGAATGGTCAGAGAGGACCTCGCTGAGGAAATGAACTGGGACCCAAACGACAGGGAGGTCGAGGAGGTAGCCACGCGAAGACACACATTTCAGGGAGAGGGAACAACTACAGAGAGTGAGGTGAGAGTGAACTGGTATGTCTGAGGCACAGAAAGAAGGCCAAAACGCGGGATGCAGGGAGCCATGGGGCGAGTTCAGGAGACAAGGCTGGAGAGCTAGGCAGGACTTGGGTCATGACATGAGAGTCAGGGGTGGGTTTTACTCAAGGGTGATGGGAAACCATAGGAAGGCTTAGGTGGGAAGGTGACATTCTCCATTAAGCTTGAGAAAGTCCACTGTGGAGAGCATCTGGGGGTGAGGGGGCCAGAGTGGAGGCAGGAAGAACAGTCAGGTGGCTGCCGCAGAGACTAGATAGGAGATGGAGACATAGCCTTGGAGACAGTGAAAGGTGGTCTGATTTAGGATGCATTTGGGAGTAAAGAGGACAGAACATGCTGATAACTAGCCGTGGCAGTGGGCGAGGCAAAGAGGCATCAAGCCGAGATTTCTGCACGAGTGTGTAGATGAACAGTAGAGCCACTGGCTAAGATATATGTCATGAAATATTTTATTAAGTAGGTACCATGCACAGGCCCTGCGCTAACTGCTTTACACACGCCACGTCATTAAAGTGTCACACAACCCACTAGAATTCCATCAAGGATATAAGAAACTTCAGTGTCAACAGGATTAAGCAGCTTGTCCAAGTTGACCCTGCAAAGGCTGAGATTCACACAAGGGCTGCTGACTCCAAAGGTCAGATATTTAACCTCTATGCTCAAGTCAAAAGTCAGTGGTTGGCAGTTAAGGGTACAGAATGTGACAAATCCCCTCCACCTCCACCCTCCCCACACAGAGAACGGTCAGGGCTGGCTGGAGACTGGATGGTGAATAGGGCAGGATTCAAGCTGGAGCCCATGCCTCTGTTTCCACTTCTACTTCCTGTTTAGCCCCTCACTCTTTGGGTGCCCAGTTGCCCCTGGGCCCCTGCTGTGTGGCTCCAGGTAACCATGCCTGTTACTTTTCCAGACTTTTCTCATTGTCCTCTCCCATCCCCAGGATACCCCATTACCATCTCTCTCCTAAGGCTCGGCTAAGTGGCTGGAGATAATCCGATAGGTTCCATGCTGAAAAACTGGGAGGTAATAATGGCTTTCAAGAGTTATAGCTGCCGGAACTTCCCTGGTGGTCCAATGGTTAAGAATCTGCCTTGCAATGCAGGGGACACAGGTTCAATCCCTGGTCGGGGAACTAAGGTCCCATATGCCATGGGGCAACTAAGCCTGTGCACCACAACTACCGAGCCCGCTCACTCTGGAGCCCACATGTCACAACTAGACAGCCCGTGTGCCGCAACTGCTGGGCCTGCACAGCACAACTAGAGAGAAGTCTGTGCGCCTCAACGAAAGATCCTGAATGCCTCAATGAAGATCCCACATGCCGCAGTTAAGAACTGAAAAAACAAAAAAAAAAAAAAAAAAAAAAATTACAACTGCTACGTAACAGAAAAATATTTTCTCCCCAACCCTATTTTAAAAAATGTTAAACTCACAGAAAGATTGAAAGCCAAGTACAATTAACATCTATATACCCTCTCCTAAATTCACCAATTATTAACATTTTGCCACATTTGCTTTTTCTCTCTCTCTCTCAGGTAGAAAACAGAGGTCAAGTTCCAGGTCAGCCCTTGGAGGGCAGGAATTAGGTGCTTTTTTCATCTCAGTGTTCCCTGTACCCAGCACAATGCCTGACACATAGCGATTGGCCAATAAACGTTTGTTGAATGAATAAGTGAATGACTAATTATAGCAGCAAGAAGGCGAGCCGATCTGATAGAAATGTTGCTGCTTGGGTGGTTTGAAAAGTTAAGCACATCTAAAAGCTTATACACATATAGCAAAGAGAACTGTAATTTACTTAAGGCTTTATGTGTCCGTTGCTTTATTATCTATTTATTATGTGTTTTAAAATCCCTCTCTTTTATTTTTTATAGGAGTCAGCAACATGTCCATGTAGCTAGGAAATGGCAAAGGTGGGATTTACATGCAGTTCTGTCTGATTCAAAACCCACAGTTTTTCCACTCTACTTGGTGACTACTGATCTATCATCTATTTATCTATATTTTCTGATTTCCCTGACCTCACATATGAGCAGCTGGGATTATGATTACCATAAGATTTGGAAAACCATATTTAGAGCTAATGACAAATCTGGATCATCAACTATTTGTATTACATGTACATCCTGTGTTAACCATGTTAGTCAAGGTTACTGACAGACTAGTCTCCTGGGGGAGTAGCAGCCCTTTTAATAGCCTTAGGGACCTCCATTTTGAGCCTTTCAGTTATTTTGTCCCAAGAAATGGCAAAACTGAAAAACAAAAATAACATGCCCAAGTTTCTCAGATGCTGACACAGCTGGAAGCTGGCCAACTGGTCCTTGTTAGCTTCTATATTTTCTTTTGACTAGAAAATCCTCTTCCTAATCTGACAAATTAATCAGGCATTTAACTAGGTTTTAGGAACAAAGAGTTCCTCTTCTTCCTGACACATAGAAGTAGGAATAAATGGTCTATGGCAAAGATGGAACATGAACAGTTCCAAGAGTTTAAAGGCAAACTGCTTGTCAACTGTTTAAAAAGTTGAATTAATGAGTAACCACTCCTGCACCTCATGCTAAAATCATTCCCGAACAAGAGAAACTTAGTGGCTAGGCCAATAGTCAGACCTGGCTCAAATGTTCTACTCAAGGAGGTTGGTGCAATAAATCAGATTTTACATGTAAAATGGATGCCAGGCAGCCATGAACAAAAATAAACTTTGTGCAGACAAGGGAAGATGTCTATGACATGTTACTCAGTTAAAAAATAAATTTATAGAGCTTCCCTGGTGGCGCAGTGGTTGAGAGTCTGCCTGCCGATGCAGGGGACACGGGTTCGTGCCCCGGTCCGGGAAGATCCCACATGCCGCGGAGCTGCTGGGTCCGTGAGCCATGGCCGCTGAGCCTGCGCGTCCGGAGCCTGTGCTCCGCAACAGGAGAAGCCACAACAGTGAGGGCCCGCGTACCACAAAAAATAAAATAAAATAAAAAATAAAACAATATGCTATGATCTTACTTACATTTGTGTAACTGTGTGCTAATATGTATATATTTAGTATGGAAAAGTGTTGGAGTAATATATGCTATATTAACAGGGATTATCCGTTAGAGATTGGACGGCACCAGAAATTTTCCAAGTTATACATTTATATCATTTTGCATTTTCACATTGATTAAATTGATAATAAAAAAAAATGTTTTAAAAATCATTTAAAGTTCTCCTGATTAGACCAAGATATCTGGTGAGCAAAGTTTAAAGTTTAAAAGTTTACCTTGGGGCTTCCCTGGTGGCGCAGTGCTTGAGAGTCTGCCTGCCGATGCAGGGGACGCGGGTTCGTGCCCCGGTCCGGGAAGATCCCACATGCCGCGGAGCGGCTGGGCCCGTGAGCCATGGCCGCTGAGCCTGAGCGTCCGGAGCCTGTGCTCCGCAACGGGAGAGGCCACAACAGTGAGAGGCCCGCGCACCGCAAAAAAAAAAAAAAAAAAAAAAAATTTATAAAAAGTTTACCTTGCTTTTCATCTTTACTTGAATTCTATGTGGAGAGAAGAGAAAAACTAAATTCTACCAATTTCCCAGAAAGATGTAGATGCTTCCTTTAAGGAAGAGGTCACGTAACTGAAGACATTAGCAGGGCAGAAGCCACTGGAACCTGAACTAAGGGGCTTCCGGAAAGCCTGATTTCCTAGAGCTGGTGACACCCCTTGGGAACTAATCAAAGAGAAAGTACCAGGCAGGTGAAGCCAGCTACTGAGCAACAGGCTGGAATCTAATACTCTAATCTAAAAGGAGTAATCCTTACTCCTTTTCCTTCAAGTAAATTACAGAGGTAGCACTTTGCTGCTTTTAAAAATTTATTATTTAAGAAGGATATATTTCCTGAAATCACAATAAAGGTTAATACTGTTCACACCACAATTTGGGGGGACAACAGCATCAATTAAAGGGGAGACATATATTGCCTGCCATGGAGGATACACCTTAATCAAGACAACTCAT